TTCTAGAGTAGAATAGCCCCTTAAGCCAATCGAGAACTATCCACCGTCGCTGCTTGTTGGATCGGAGCTCTTTGAACAAAAATTGCAACGCAATAGTTACGCGATACCGTGGCTCCACTTACTTAGCCTGGCGTAACGTGCCATTTGTGTCAATTCTAATAAAATAATTCTAACATACATTGATATACATACATACATATGTATGTACATGTGTATGAAAACGTATATTAGTTGCATGGTATGTGCTATTGAACGGGCAGGAAAATGCGGCAATAATGGACGCAAACGAAATTCCATAAAACCATGTTAGTTGTTGATGACTCCGCTGCTGCTGTACTTTATAGGTTTTGTTCTTGTATCAGTTGCTTAGCTAATTCAGCAGCTGGATGCTTGTGTGTAGGTTTCCCCATATTTGTGCCACTTTGAGTAATTCACCACACCAAAACTGTGGCAAATGCCATCAATGTTGTTGCTTTTGGCATTGTTGCCGTTCTTGCCATTTTTTACCGAACGAAACAATCCACAAGATCCCCCGCCTGCTGCAGTTGCTCAACTCTCTTCGTTTACTGACATTAAACGGATGTATGCACACCCACACCCTTACCGACACGCACATGCAACGGTTTTATAATGATAATGCCAAATGTACTAAATTGTAAGAATGCTGGCACTGCTAAATTACAATAACAACAACAATAAGCTCACAAAACAATTGCTGTACGCGCTGGCACTTAAGAAGCCACTTCCGTTAGCAATTTACAAACGACAACATCCACACACACATATATATATATACATATGGGCAGTGTGGTCGAGTATGTAGAACAAAAGCGGCTGCGGCTGCGGCTGTGGCAGTAGCAACGTCAACAATAAAAGCGTACAGTGAGCGAATCATCTGTCCATCAGCTCGGCCGCATTAGATGCATGGATGTGGCTTATGGGCACGAAAATTTTAGCAGCCGTTGCGAAGATGAACGACGAAGATGGTGGCGGCGTTGGCGGCAATGATGCGACCGTTTCTGCCACATTAAGATCTCTTCAATTGGCTTGATTAAACGTCGGAGGGCTGACGACTCATTCAAAAGAATTGTTAGAACCATTCGTGAACTCATTTCGTTGTTGGGATTGCATTTAAATTGATGAAGCATACGTTGGAATTTTTTATTAGCCTCAAAATATTATTGCTAAAGAGAGAATAGTAATAGTATCCATACGTATAGTATATATGAATATTCGGTAGTAAAAACACACTTTGTACTTAATAATTTGAGGAGAAATGGCTTTGTTTTTTCCATAATTTTATTTTCGTAGATACACAGGGTCTCCCAAAGTTAACGTTGACGAAGTTAAAACACTATTCCGACCATTATTTTTGAAATATTGTTAAATTGTGAAGATATGTTGTTCTATAGTGTAACGCTAAATTTTCTCTAAGCCTAAATTGTCAGCTGTTGATTTTTTTTTTTTTTTGTTGTCAACACTTTGCAACATATGTAAATTGCAGAAAATTTAAATTTTGCGTTAAGAGATACCCCTTATTTTGAGATTTTTTAGAACTACTCGTATCAGGAGTAATTTCCGAATACTTCATTCATCGCTTTATTTCTAAAAGTGAGGTTAACATAAGGTTACACCCTGAATTACAAACATTACGAGCTAGTGCTCTCAGCTCACCTTCTCACTTCATGTCTTATGTTGTTTCTTCTTATATGGAAATCAATTAGTTTAAAATGTTTTACTTGATTTATTTGAAAGTGTTCTCAAAGAACTCACAGAACTATAATAACTTTATAAAGAGTAACAGCATGAGAGTTATATTATAAATTGCTTTCGATTTACTAAACACACAGGAGTGTTGAATCGAACTGATATTATTAAGTAGAAATAATGGCAATGTTGGTATAGCCGCCACTTTAATTTAGTTGGTTCTCTTAGATATGACATTATACACGGACCAAACTTATAGTAGATCTGTAGAGTGAAGATTAAATAGCTTTAGGGTACCACTTGAAAAATTTCATCCCAATATATTTATTGATGTTTGACTTGTATAATGAAAATAAACGAATCATATGGAATTGAAAGCATGGTTATATAAGAGGTAGCCCCTTTAGCCCATTTTCACGGCAAGATATAAATGACTGCATATATGTATGTACATATATGATTTCACCTAAAGGTGAACAGTGCTGCAACCACTGTTACTTTTATATCCGATCCTATAAAGCTCTTTCCCACCATTTCGGTGGCGAAGTTTAATGCTCGTGGCTCGTTTATTCAATGAATTATCGTACTTTCAGTAGATATGCACATAACAGTTATATGGAGCGTGTAAGTGGTATTATCTGATTATACCATTTTTCTTAGCATTTGAAGAGGTGCCAAAAAAAAACTTCTCAGCAAGTTTGGTTACGTTAGCTTCACCGGTTTGGAAGACATATACGTATGTATGTATGTACATCATTTAGATGGCTTGCCGACTTCTCGTGGGAGATGGGAATACAGGAATACTTATATAGTAAGTATATAGCAAGTTATCGTTTGCTCAGACAGCAGTTAGATACGTATGTATGTAGGTATGTACATACATTTAGGTGAAAAACAAATAAAAATTGCGGTTTTCTATCAAAAAATACTAAATACTGAAGAAATAATCCTAGAACTATTATTAAAAACTAACAGTTACTTAATATTCAATGTACAAGTATTTAATTTTCCTGATCTTACTAACTATATTTATTCTGTTGAAATTAACGATTCCGTACAAGCGAAAGAAGTTGATAGAGTCTCTTTCGCATTTTTTCGCTGCGGCTATCAAACCAGCATCAACCCTCTACTTTATTCTCTCTTCATTTAACGTCAGCAGCTAAATTCCTCTATTCGCAGTATGAAATTAGGCCGGTCGATTGAAAATTCTCTACCATAAATGAAATGGGAGCAATAGTGCCAACAAGCACCAAGTTATAACTGTGCATGGCAATGGGAAATGAGTTTTAAATATTTACTGCAGAACATTGGACCCTCTTGCGCACAAGGCTCACAACACGTTCGTACACAGTTCAACAATGTGTATACGAAGACGACAGAAATGGTTTTCTATATATACATATGTATGTATTTATGTAAAATGTACGTATTTTTCAGTTCGTAAGAAGTATGTACTTTATGAAGTACTGCGACGCTGCGCAGCCAAGCCAGCTATCGTGATGGCTAAGCACACATGCGCAGCAAATGTTCATCATGCATGAGGGTTGAGAGGGCTGCAATTGCAGTAAGCCGTTGGTAATTTGCCACGTCGACAGATATGAATGTGGTGGCTTCAGAAAATTTGGTTCGCTTCTTTTAATTCATCTCCGGAGATTTCTGGGTGTGAGTAATTCAGTCTCAATGCTTACTAATACACGAGTAAATATGTACATATGTATGTCTGTTTAATTAATATTTAATTGTTATACATACATATATACGGCAATATACATATGTATGTACATAAGTATTTACCTTGCAAGGATTTACTGAATTTTTAATTTTTGTTGCTGCGAGAGAGCAGCAAGAATTGTAATTACCAAATCTTATAATGAAGACTTAGATTGTCAACAAACAAATTTGTAATTTTGAATACAGTTAGTTACCTAAAGAAAAATTTATTCAAACAAATCTTTCCATAATTTTTGTTTTGTTTTTTTACATTTTTGAGTTATGTACAGAATGAGAGAACGAAAGCGTGTACAGAGAAATATTTACTTAAAATACAATTCCAGAACAAAACAAATGTAAATCAAGGCAAGTTTTTTGAATATAAACAGTGGTTAATAATAGTTTGTAAAAAAAGTCCTGCGGTATATTTTATTTATTTTATAACGGTTTGATGACTCATGCCCAGCTCTTGACCGATGTTACGGCTGCTACTATGCCGGTCTCTTTCGACCAATTCAGCGATTTTATCGCAATTTTCGACGACAGGCCTTCCGGAGCGTGGCATCTTCGACCACCTCTACACCAGAACGAAAACGTTGAAACCATCGTTGTGTGGTGGAAATGAAACTATATCGGGTCCATCAACTGCACAAATTTTATTGGCGAATTGAGGTGCATTTTTGCATTTATCGTAGTAGTACTGCAAAATATGCCGTATTTTCTGTTTATTTTTCTCCATATTTGTGACGCTATAACTCACGAACGACTTAAAAGAAACGACAATCAATCAAACACGTGTTAGCGCGTGAAATGAGCTTTCCAAAAAGGTATAGCATGACCCGATGCTGTTCGTCGCAAACTAGAACTACGCGCTCTCAGTGCCAACTAGCGAAAATACCGCAAGACTTTTTTGACCAACTAATCTTTGTAAGACATACATAGTATGTATGTATGTATATCCATCGAATGAATTTGCTTTGACAATTAGTGAAATCTGCGAAATCATTTTAGAGAGAGTCCCTGTGAGCTTTTCGAATACATACATATGTGTACACATATTCAAAGGATATAACATTTAAGTATAACCACAGCTATACATTTTAATCGTCCTTTGGTTTTATTACACAGGGCTAACAAAAACGGTTTGGTTTGGGGCAGGTCCTTCTACATCCTACCTTAGATACTCTATACTTAATTGCTATTATTAAATGTTTGCTGACAGCTGCAAGTCTTATTTGAATTTATTCTGGTTTTACGGTTTTATTCAAAATCTGATTATCACTTTTATTACAGAAATAGTAAAAATTAAATGTCGTTGATCTTTCAACACACGGTCTGTTAGTTCCTTCGTACTCTGCTTACTTTCGTATTGAAATCGGCAATCAAGATTTCTATGAACGAGAGTTGATGTGAAAAATATGCCTGATATTTCCATACCAACTTACAAAGTTCTAAGATTTGCGGTACCAAAATGAGTGTCACGTTACTGGTATACATAAATTGCTTTCTAAGTCAACTTTGATGTATTATTTATATATGTACATACATATGTATGTATGTATGTAAATTCTTTGAATACTTACAGGGAAGCTCATTTCGTCACCTTAAATTTATTGATTGAGATTAACTACACTATGTTAACCAGCTGGTACTTTTAACGAACGCTTAATTTATTTGTCAAAAAAGTTATTTTTTTCTTAATTTAGTGTGCCACTTTATATATAAAGCCAATATTTTTTAAAAATTGCAGCTATATTGATATGACAGTCGTGGGCCCCCTCTTTTTTAAGCATTTAAATCGCTGCCATGTATTTACAAATGCTCTCAGATCCACAAAATTCTCAGTACATTCTCACTTTTGCTCCCGTTAATTGAAGAGCCGAATGTACAGACTTCGTACTTGAAAATAATCGGACTCAGATGAACAACCCAATCAACAAATAAAATACGGTGTAAAGTCGAGGTAGAAGTTGCGATTAAGGCAGCAAAGGGCTTCAAAAGAACTTCAAGAGGAGAAATGACGGAAGTATCTTTTCGACGATATGTCTATGACTGTTGGGATCGAATAGATAGGAAAAGTATTACTAAAGGAAAGCTATTGCTTTGTATTTGGGATTTGATAGAAGACATTTTTTTAAGATGCTATCAAAGTATGTTTTGAGGACTTGAAAGAGGAATTTAAGCTTATTTTTGAAGAAAATATTATATTATTTCTCTTTTTAAGGAATGCCTGTATATTCATTAGAATAGCTATATATGTATATATATTTATTATTTCAGTAAGCAGACAATATGTGGGAATATATCCGACATAGAAAAGTTATCAAGTTAAGTTATATTCGATCAACTGGCTTAGTTACGGTACAACATATCACGTTATATAAAAATAAAATTCAAGTGAACCTTAGATGTCTTTGATGAGCGACCATGGAGAGTAGTGAATCGAACAAAAAATTAACATAAATCAGTGGTTATTTCACAATATCTGTTCATAAAGAAAATTTTGGTAAACTTTTGAAATTTTCGAATATCGATCGCAATTTTTGAAATTTTTTAGCAGTAAGTTTCATAATTTGGGTTATTTTTCTTAAGCTTCGACTATTTTGTACTTTTTTTTTGTTTTAATCAATTTTTATATCACAAGTGGTTCACACTATGAAAAAAAACTTGTCTTACCCTACATATTAAATTTTAAAAATGAAAAGTATTTATATTAATTCGAAAAATTGTCTAAACGTTCTTTTGATGTGCCTTTTTTTGGTTCCTAACAACCATAACCTTTCATGAGACTTTGTTTTTCACATTTTAAATAGTTTTGCTAACTGGGTTTTATTTCAGTGAGGGTTGCAGTAGGCGCACTCTCGCTTACACAATCGCGTTTATTCATTTTCGCGGAGATGCGGCCAGTGACGAGTCAGCCAGCCAGCCAAGGCAGCTAAAAAATCAGTCAGCCAACGGAACTAGTGAGCCGAGTCGACGCCGTTATAGTGTGCAAAAACCAGAGCAGGCAATAAAGTGCGAATTGAATTGCGAGTATAACGAGCAAGATGGAACATCGTAAGAGGCGACGACAGCAGCAACAACAGCGAATTCAAAGAAAATGTAAACAGGCAACACAAAAGCGATCTAGTGCCGTGTTATTTGATTGTGTTGGTAACAATTTTCGCGGTGGTATCTTTGGCCGTTTTTTTGGTTTTGGTTCTTGTATAACGTTTTTGCTATGTTTGTGTTTGTGAGCGTGAACTGCGACGGACGTGCACTATCGGCTGTTGTCGTGTCGGTGTGCTGGCTACGCTCTGCTGAAGATTTGCGACTTACCCAAGTGGAGACTTGACCCATGATTCATTCTATTCTCCTCTGCCTGCTCCTTGGCAAATAAAGTCGAACGTTGAGTAGCGCAGCGCAGGCGAAATTATCAGCTAACAAAGATGACAACAAGCCTGCTTAATTCTATAGCCGCAACGTTCGTTGCTCGCGTTGGGGGTTTTCCGACGTCGCGAGGTCACTGCGTACGAATTTCTTTTTCTTTGTGGGCATAGAGATATACATACGTATTTATACTTATGTATGTACAAATATATAAAGGCATGTACGTATGCATGTGCCAGCGCCGAGTATTTTTCAACGAATGTACGAGTGTGTGCGAGTTTGGTGAGCGATCGTTTATGGCTGACTGGCTGGCCGTATGCTTATCCGCATGCCCTCTCTTTCTGCTCCTTTTTTTGTTCTTGCTATTATGCGTTCTTCTCTGTGCGACTTGGGATCGAGTGCTGCTTCGGCTTGAAGCGTGATTTGTTGTTATTATAATGACGATTGTCGCGCTCAGCCCTATTATTCAGTGTATTAAACGAACGCGCCTGAAGTTATTGTAGTTGTAATTCTCATATATCGCAAACATTTGGTTAGCATTGCTGTTGTATTTATTGTAGTCGACGCGCTGATTTTGGCTTTGACGTTGTCGTAGCCGTAGCCGCAGCCGCAGCCTCGGCTTGGGCTCGGGTGGATGGTTGGCTGATTAGTGTTTTGCCTGGATTTTATTAGTTGGTTTTTAAACTTGGTCGTGAGAGGGTAGTGAAAAGTGAAAATCGGACAATATAAACAGAACAGTTGGAACGCATTAAGAAAGCAGCAACCCAGCAAATAAGAAAGCAGTGAACTGCGCAGCTGGAAAAGTGAGTGAATGAGGAAGAATTTGTGAGGCAGCTTTGAAGTGGAGTGCGTAGACTATTACTTGGAGTGGTCCAAATAAAAAAGTTAACTGAGTTTTTAAGAAAAAAACTTAAACTGTTGAACAGTGTACTATAGTTGTGCGCCAAATTACAAAAATTGCAGTGAAATATTTCGTGAAAAGTTTTGTGAATGGATGCGTTAAGAGCTAGCATCGCTTTTGCTAATCCACTGGACGCATACTCAGCTAACAGCGCTATAAATACAAGAACGTCCAAAAAGTCGAACACTTCGGAATACTCATTGCGATCGTCGCCAGCTTCCTCACCAAGTACTTCACCGAAAGCTGTCGCTACGGCAGCAAACATTGCGCCGCCTTCGCCTGCACACTCTTCAGGCGCTTCTTCGTGCTCTTCGCGGTCCAGACTGCGTGTAGCAACCCCCGACTCGCATACGCCTGGCGCTGGTGCTGGTGGTGGTGAAATGAGTGTGAGTGGTGGAAGTCAACTTGGCGCAGCGTTGGATATGAAGACGACGGGCTCAGCAGTTGCCTCTGTGGCTGCCGTCACCGCCGCCGCCGCCGTTGAGCTATTGCATGCGGGGGCGCCAACTTCTCAGATGCAGTCGCAGAAAATCAAAAAATGTGCGTTTAATAAACAAAATAAACCTTTTACTGAAATTGTAGATGTAAATATAAAAATTTCGAAAATTACTCGAGGCACAGCACGAGCTGCCGACGTTGCCGAAAACAATAACAACAACCATGATAAAAACAAAAGCAATTTGACGGCAATTGTTGCTAGTAACTTTGTGGAGCAAAATCTTTTGCCAACAACGACAATGTCTGCCCCGAAGTTACTACGAAGTTGTCGCAGCAAAAGTAGTCCTAGACTGCAGCAACTCTATCAACAACAACAACAGCTGCAACGACAGCAAAAATCTATGTCATTGCAGCGGCAACAACAACTAGAAAAACATACCAAATGTTACGTACAGAAACCGAAAACCAAAAAATATTTCAAAAAGAAATTTAGACTTGAACAAGAACGCCAATTTGCTGAAGCTGAACAGCTACAACAACAGCAACAGCAACTTTATTCGTCGACAAAAGAAAATTTTTTACTTACCCTCGATTTACTTGCAGTGGTTCGCCGTAATGCCTCCGACAAGTTGCGCCTCATCCAAATGGTTCATGACAATCCGATACTTTGGGATTCGCGTCTGCCCAATTTTAAGGGCGCCGAAGAAGAGAAGAATCGGGCTTGGGAAATGATTGGCAAGGAGTTCAATGCGCCGGGGCGGCGAGTGGCGCGCGCCTTTAAATCTCTGCGTGAATCGTATCGACGAGAGTTGGCGCATGTCAAATTAATGGGCAACGGTTTTAAGCCAAAGTGGAGTCTCTATGAAGCAATGGATTTCTTGCGAGATGTCATTAGAGAGAGAAAGTGAGTATATAAATTAAATATTTACACATAAAAGTAAATATGTTTCTATATTAGAGAGCAAATGTGTGCCATATGCATATAAGCAGCTACACCACAAATTATTGACTCACTTTTAGCGATGAAGGTTATTAGCGAATATCTTAGAAGCTAGCTGAATCGTTTACTGTAAACTTTCGTAATATTATTTTACATTGTTGCTTTCATATAACATTTTAACAAGAAATATGACGCTCCAATACAGAGCCTCCATGTTGTTACACTTAACTCTTAGTAAAGGTGGGACCGGCAAGGTTACTAGTACGATAGAGTTTGGTTCAATACAATGAACGGGCTGAGTACCGTCAACTAGACAAAAATCTACAGAAAAATGTGGGTAAAGTTTTATGTTCCTGCAAGTGTAAACAAAAAGGGCCATGCGGTCATATGACTTTACAGTCCTTCTGAGTTCATGTTATAACAAATCTCGCTCATCTACATGTTTACCCCAACACCCATGATTAGTGGCAAAGCATATTTTTGACATATATACAAGGTGTGTTCCAAAGTAAACTTTTTGAATCTAGCGTCCCCTGGTGGCACCATCTACATGTCGACTGGTGCGTTAGATCTTTATCGATTGTCCAAATTGACTTTTATGACATTTCATTGATAGGAAGTGAAGTTATTGCGTTTTAAGAGTCAGTATGTTTGTTTTATCGGTGCGAAAATGAGCTTCGAACAAAGAGCCAATATTAAATTTTGTTTTAAAATTGGTATAACTTTTACCGAAACGTAGCAGAGAGCACGAGTGGTTTCAACGTTTTCAAAGTGATCGTGAGGACATACTTAACCGATCAACATGTGGGCCAATCAAAATCCGTGATCACCGGAAATTCCATCGAAACTGTGAGTGAGTTCATCAAAAATCAGCGAAATCAACATTGAAATTCATTCAAATGGAATTGAACATCTCCAACACATCTTAAACATATCGCATTTTTTGGATTTAAGAAGCTTTAGTGCGCCCTTTTCAGTGTGTTCGCGTATTCACCTGGCACCGTGCGACTTCTTCCTTTTCGGAAAAATGCACTTACCCATGAAAGGAAAACGTTCGTGTTATGCAGACGTCGAGGCCATTCAAAACACTCGTTAGATATGTTTTTGAACCATGCAAAAAGCTGTATAGAAGCAAAGGAGACTATTTTGAATAAAATAAATGGATTTTGCCGAAAAAACCATTTTTTCTGTTTTTTTTTTTCTTCTTGATTGGCGTAGACACCGCTTACGCGATGATAGCCGAGTTAACAACAGCGCGCCAGTCGTTTCTTCTTTTCGCTACGTGGCGCCAATTAGATATTCCAACTGAAGCCAGGTCTTTCTCCACTTGGTCCTTCCAACGGAGTGGAGGTCTTCCTCTTCCTCTGCTTCCCCCGGCGGGTACTGCGTCGAATACTTTCAGAGCTGGAGC